CCATGACAACACCTGGGTATTGTTTTAGAGATAGTCTCTCGCTCTTGCTCAGGCTGGTTTCAAACTCCTGAGCTCAGGTGATCCACTTGCCTCTTCCTCCCAAGTGCTAGGATTACAGGTGTGAGCCACTGTGCCTGGCCATTTTCACTTTCTTGAAAATACATCACTGGTTTTTTTCTCTGAATATTGAATTATAATTATTTTTTCTATCCTTCTGAACAAATGTCTCATTCTTCTTCTATCACTCTCTCACTTATTAACATATATAGCAAATAGCTACTATATACTAAAGATGAACTGTTAACTCTCCAAAAAGCTTTGATAATTTCATTTGTTAGTTGTTTTCTTAGTCTTTACATTAAAAATATGGCCTCCCCTAGGAGGGAATTCCTCCTGTTGGCATGTGCTGTTTCTTAATTTGGCAAAATTGTTATATGGTTGCTCACTTAACATTAATTTATATTTTTTATTCAGTCAATAAATATTTATGGAGAGCCTATTATGTGCTATCATTTTCTGGGGATGGTGAGCAAAAAGGTATATTTTCTGTCCTCAGGAAGTTTATAAGTCTGAGTGAAAGGTAGATGTTAATAATCACAAAATAAATGTATAAACTATAAAAATTCTTTATAGAAAAATAAATGAGCACTGAAGGATATCAAAGGAAACTGAGGGGGAGGTCAGAGTTAGTAAAGGCTTACTAGGGATTGATGTGTAAACTCAAATCTGAAGAATCAGAATATTCTCAGGTATAGCAACAAACATGTTAAAAGGTCATATGGTGAGAACAAAACGCTCAAAAAAATGTAAAGCTCTCAGTTTAGTAAGGCTGGAACCAGAGTTTATGGAGTGAAGGTGGGAGTATAAGACAAGGCTCTATTCTTCTTCTTTTTTTTTTTTAAAGACAGTGTCTTACTTTGTTGCCCTCGGTAGAGTGCCGTGGTGTCACAGCTCACAGCAACCTCCACCTCTTAGGCTTAGGCGATTCTCTTGCCTCAGCCCCCAAGTAGCTGGGACTACAGGTGCCTACCACAATGCCCGGCTATTTGTTGTTGTTGTTGTTGTTGTTGTTGTTGCAGTTTGGCTGGGGCTGGGTTCCAACCTGCCACCCTCGGTATATGGGGCTGGCGCCCTACTCAGTGAGCCACAGGTGCTGCCCAAGGCTCTATTCTTAATGTTTCAATTATAAGAAGACTCTATCAATGAGCTTAGGGTCCTATCATAAAATACTACAGACTGGATGGCTTAAAGGACATAAATTTTCTCACAATTAGAGAGGCTGGATCTGAGATTAGGGTGCCAGCAAAGTCAGATTCCTGTGTGGGCTCTTTTCCTGGCTTACCTAGGGCTGCTTTCTCTCTGCATTCTTACATAGCAGGGAAAAGGTGGGGACAGAAGGATTACTCTCTTCTTTTAAAGCCACACACATGTGACTTCATTTAACCTTAATTACTTTCTAAAGAAATTATCTCCAGATTTAGTTACATTTGGGGCTTAAGCCTTCAACATTTGAATTTTGGCAGGACACAATTCAGTCTATTGCAAAGACCAACATAAAAGTCATTAAATGATTTACACTGAGATAACATGATCATATTTGACAAGATAACTCTAGATGCAGTATAGAATGGACAGAAGAGGTGAAAAGTTGACATGAAATCCATTTAAGAAGTTTTTTGCAGTAGTCAGTTAAATTCAGACTGAGCTTACTCCACAGTGCTTTTGGGAAGTAAAGTAATTCCAGACTTCAATAGAAGATAAAATTGAAGAGTGTAACAATTCATTTGATAGGAGAGAGAAGCGGAGGGATGCTGCTTAGGTTTCTATAGTGACACCAACTGAATGAGTGATGGAACCATTTAAAGAAATAAAAACTGGAAGAATTCTAAGCATGGGAGAAGAATCATGAACTCAGTTTGGTACCTATTACATTTCAGGTACTTTTGAGGCATTAATTACTGTAGCATATTGTAAGTTGACCACCCAGGGGACTTTAACAAACTGATCAATGGACAGAGGTGGTCAACATAAGGAACTAGGCCTACTGTGCTGATGATACATATATGTGGTGCATGTCCTGTCTATGAAAATTAGGTCAATTGAAGGAGGTGGTCAATGCAGGGAGATGGTCAACTATGGATGTTCTACCATAAGTAACACTTTTGAATGGTAATAGTATTTTATTAGAGTGATTAATACTAAATATTGAAACAAATGTCCTTTAAATACCAGTGCTTTAGCGTAACAGAAGTTCCAGTTCTTTGAGTTGATATGATAGAAGGGATAATCAATAGTGTAAGGTTCTAAAGAGAGCACATGTGGAAGGACCAGCTCTAGGCTGGAGTATAAACAGATTCCCTATTAAAGGGCAGTATGATGGACTTTCTTGTAAACACCTTCGATTTTGTATTTCTAAATAAGAAGTTAGTATCTCTCCCATAAAATGCAACCACTCCTTTACTGCCTAATATTAGTATTGCTATTCTCCTTTTTAACCATGCCATGAAACTCTCATATTCTTTTCTTCCTTTTCTCCCAAAGTCTTTATCATTACCAATTTTTATTGATTATATCTTGGGAAAGCCTTCCTTCTACTTCCATGACTAGTAAATGAGTGTATATTTTTATTACTAGCTCAAATGTCACTCCCTTCTTGAAGGCTTCTCTATTTCTCCCAATGAAATAAATTTTTATATATTTCACAGCAGTAAAAGAAAAACAGAAGCAGAAATAATAAAAATTATTTATTATGTTATGAATCATCCTTATGAGAGTGTATCCTATTACTCAAAATATTCCATTCTTTATAATGCTTAGTGGGCCTCCCTGCTTCTTCCTTTTCTCTTATATTATTAAAACAACAACAACCTGTTCCAGACCAGGCATGGTAGCTTACATTTATAACCCTAGCACTTTGGGAGGCTGAGGTGGGAAGACTGTTTGAGGCCAGGAGTTTGAGACCAGCCTGAGCAACATGGTGAGACCCCCAAGATCCCATCTCTATAAAAATTTGCGAAAATAGCCAGGTGGTTGCAGTGTGCACCTGCAGTCCCAGCTACTCCAGTGGCTGAGGCAGAAGGATCATTTGAGGCCATGAATTTGAGGTTGCAGTGAGTTATGATGATGACACTGTGCTCTAGTTAGGGCGACGAAGTGAGACCCTTTCTAAGAAACAAAACAAAACAAAATCCAATGTGTTCCACATAATTATTTGCCCAATACATATAACACAGCATCTGAATTGCATAATACATGTGGATTTACCACATCCTCTATGAGCTTTGTAGATGATCTGATATTTAGAAATGCAATAATCTGGGGCAGAGGAAGAGGATACTAAACTTCTAAATTCTAACTCTACTCTTATGAACTTTACTGGAACTGGATTTTCATAACATCTATAGATTGTAACACTTTTATTAACCAGAATCAAGACAGCTGTTTGGACCAGCACTTTGACTTGAAGCATTTTTCTCGCAGGAATAGACTTATAAGACCACCTGCTCTGTTTAGCACCTATTTGGATTTGTTTTCTGGTAGACTTCTTTTTCCAATATAACGTTTTCATTGCCCACAACTTCCTGGCTATAAGGACTCTTGAGTAGCCTGGAATTTCAATGAAATTTGTACTTTTTTACCCCAAGGTTGATGAGCCGCTTGCCTATGGTCTGGAACCACTCAAAACTTTCCTTTTTTTGGTTTTATTTATCTTCCCACTAAGGTAAGGTGACCAGATTTTAACATTGGTAAAGCGGGACACCATTGATGGGGGTGAGGGTGGGTGAGAGGGTGAAAGGTAGAGGGGAGGGGGTGTGGTTCTTAATTAAAAATTTGGTCTATATGGAGCAACAGAAATTTTCATAGAACACAAAAATAGTATTGTAATATATATATTTTTAAATTTCAACATAAGTACAATTTACAAATATAATACATTAAAAAAATTATGTATACGGCAGTGCCTGTGGCTCAAAGGAGTAGGGTGCCGGTCCACCTGGGCTACCTTGCCCAGGAGGGGAGTAGGGAGTTTACCTTAGCCTTTTCATTTCCAAATGAAGTATATTAACCTCTTCATTCCCAAATAGAGTTACAGTAACCTTTTCAGCAGCCATATATTCCCTTCCCGTTGTCCCGCCACTCCCTAGCTTGTCATGTATTCTTTCTAAAAATCGGGACTTTTTAAAAACACAGTTGGACGAGGGATAAATTGTTAAAAATCGGGACTGTCCCTCCAAAAGTGGGATGTGTGGTCACCTTACACTAAGACGAAAACTTAAGATTATCGGATAAAATGTGCCCAGACGCGGCGTTTAGAGTTGAGTATGGAGAATTCCAATAGTGCTGACCCGCGGTCTCCTTCCACTGGTACATCCTTCGGCCCGGAGGGAACTAACTCTCTTGTTTTCTAGCTTACTCCACGGTCACCTGGCGCACCTACAGACCACGCCCTCTGGTTCATCCAACGCGTGGAGGCGGGCAGGAAGCACTTTGCACCGTCCTCTCTCAGGCGTCAGCTCCACGCCCCGCCCCCGTGGCGAGGCTTCTTTAGCCCCCAAGCTCCCTGGCACCGCCCCCTTCAGCTCCCTAACGTCCTCGGCGTCGGGCCGAGCTTGCGTCTGCGCGTGCGCTCTAGGGCCAAAGTGGGGGAGGGCCGTGATTAGAACGCAGAGAGTGGCGGGCAGTGCAGCCAATGGGAGTCGTCGCTGCCTAGCGGCTGGGAGGCGGGGCCTGCGCGGTGTTAGGTTAGCGCGAGGCGTGACCTAGTTGACAGGCTTTGAGGTGCTGCTGTGGCGGCGGCCGCCGGGTTGAGGCGGGTGGGAGCCGGAGCTGAGAGCCGGCTGAGGGAGGAGGGCAGCGACTGGAGAGCGGCGAGTAGCGCGGGACGCGGAACCTCTTTCACTTTTTCCCTCCCGAGTGCCCCCTCCCACCCCTCCCACTCCACACACACCCTGTTTGCCCGTGAGCCTGGGGAACTTGCAGCTTAAAGCCATCCACCCCCACGGCAACATGTATCCCAGCAACAAGAAGAAAAAGGTGTGGAGAGAGGAGAAAGGTAACCGGCCCGTCGAGTCCTGGGGGTGCGGGCGATGGGGGTGGGGTGGGGGCGGGGGGGGTCAGGCTGTGTGTGTCGCGGCGCCCTCCGCCCGAGCTCCCTCCTCGAGTCCTCCCGGCCGGTGCCGCCTCCCTCCGGTGTCCGGGTGTGCGCGGGCGCGCGCTCCCCGGCGTGCACGCGCCGCCCCCGGGCACCTGCAGCTCGCGCACGTGTGGGCGCACGCCCCTCTCCGCCACCCTGCGCGCCGGGTCACCTTCTCCCCAGGCAGGGCTCCCTTCGCCTCGCTCGCAGCGTGGATCCCGGTGCGGCATCCCGGGGCGCGGCACAAGTTGCTCTGAACCCCAGCTGGGACTTTGACACGCCCGGCTGGGTTGTCCCACGGACACGTGCCGCACGGTGGGCACCCAGCCTACAGCTGCGCACCCCCTGCACCCTATTGCTTCCCCCTCCCTCCTCCGAAACTGGCAAAGTGTCCTTGTCTTCAGGTGTTCACCCCTTTTCTGGGTCTCCCTAGTTCGCTGCCGCAGTGTGACTTTTGAAACCTGAAACTCCAGGGGAAAGCTAAAACAAGTGTTTTGTCTATGAGGATAAGTGCCTTCAGAAGAGTCTGAATGAATGGGCTTTTCTGCCAACAGTGTGTTTCTCTATATTCCATCCCCATTCATGGGCTGAAGTTGCTGAGAGTAAGATAGTGTGATTAATGTCACTCTGTGAATGAACTCATCCTGAATTTTGTGCATATCAGGATTCATCCAAATAGGCTACGATGACTGTGGCACTGATTGCTCTAAGACACAAGTTTGTAATCTAGTACCCCCCATCTTTGTCTCTTCCCCTTCACCCCCATCACAGTTAGAAAATATTGTGGTGTAAAACTTGACTGGCATTTCCTCCCCCTTTCACCCCTCTTTTCTTAAATTCTTTAGCTTTTTATAGAAATGTATCAAAAAGTACTTGCATTGATAGTGCTAAGGTACACTAAACCTGTACGTCAAGTCAAAGGTGAGGTTGAGTGAGAGTAGTGTGTGTTTCTGCTGAATGTCCCTTTATCTTTACAGAAGAAGGATAAAAGTATGACTAGGTTAAGGGTGATTACTTTGATAATAGTTCTTTAAAACCTGTAGATTTTTATCGCAAATCCTGGCCAGCCAGTGGAGGTAAGAAAGAATTAATGTGGAAAAAAAATCCTCTATATTGGGCCTACTTCCAAAAATGTATGAAGAAAGAGATGAGGGAGGAATTTTTTTTTTCTAAATAACTTGCAGGAAGATTTAACATAATTGGACAACATAATTAAAATGGTCTTTACAATATTAAAATATTATATTTTTAATGATTACTGGTATATAGAGAGCTAACAGTTCTTGTCTCCACAAAACACATGCTGTTGAAAATAAAATAGCCTGATATTTAGTGTAAGAGAATTTTGCTTTGTCTTTGCAGTAGCAGTTACTTTAGCTTCAACACACTTTCAGCAAGCAAATATTCACCTTGTGAGCAGTAAAAAATCATTTATGCTCATTTTTACTGAAGTGTTATCTTAGTATTATTGATGATAGTGAAGGCAACATAGTGGAAGACTGTAGTCATTGTTTTCAGTAACAGGAAGCATTGATGAAATTATAGTGAGTACTTAAGAACTATAAGGACTATGTTTCTGTCCTAGTTGAAAAACAGTAAAGTAACAATCATAAAATAACAGTGTTATTATGGTTCCTTCATTTAACATCTGCCCAGCTGGATTGTTACAGTAGGCATTTTATAATCTTTTTTTTTAATGTCTATTTTTTCCTTCTATTTCTTCTAATGGGAAAATATAATCGAATTAATATTTTCTAAATAAAGAAGCAAATGCACAATTAAAGAAGACAGCAGAGTAATTATTGAAAATTAAGCTATTTTTCTTTTATCCAAAACTAAGGTATTTGTGCATGCTGTTTAATGTTAAAGGAAAAGGTTACTATCACTGTGATTTGAAAACTTTAATGAATGTGTATTATCAGGATGTCTATTCTTGGAATACTTAATACAAAATACTATATTACCAAAGAAGAGCTAGGGGCTTCTAGTACATTCATTAGTATTAGAGAAGCTGATGGGATGCATGACCTTTTTCTTTTCATCCACTAGAGAGCTGATGGTATAGTATTTTTATAGCTGTCCTTTAAAAAGGAAAGCTTACCCATGTCATTGAAATGTCAAAGTATTCTATAAACATATTTTTAACTCAATATACCATCTAATATGTAGGTCTTCCTGTTAATATGCCTGCTTCACAGAGAAAGAATTCATTGCAAACGTGAAGCATTCTTTAAAGAAAAGTTTTATGTAAAGCCAAAGAAACTGGATATATGTCTGTGGCCTTCAGTATGTTTCATTGTTTAAATAAATAATTAAGGAGTTCTTAAGTCCATATATGTTAAATAATAACATTATTGACCTAATAATTTGAGCCGTAATTCAGAACCACTCATGTGCATTTTCATTATGTATATTGCAACTTAAATTTATCTCAGTGTTTTATTTTGTTGTTTTACAATTGATTTTGTTTTTGTTCTAAGTGTTCACACTTAAACTTTTAAATAAATGGAAGGGCAGAGGTCATGTTGGATTCCTCTTTGTACCTTTGGCATTTATAGAACCTATACTTTGCATCATAATGTCTTTCTAACCTGCTAAGTAACTCTGTAATAATTCCATATTCATGACCTGAGTTTTTATAGTAGTGCTTTGGCAACTGCTAGTCCTCTTCTTTTTCTTCCTTTGGATGATAATTCCAAATTTATCATTCCCTTCAAGTTTCCTATTCCACCAAGACCCATCCCTCTAAACTAAACAGATAGCATTGCCTTTTTAATTCATGCAGAAAATATGGCTTTGTTCTTATCTTAGAAGAATCACTTTTCTTACTCATTTGTAAGATTAACCTCTTTGTGCTCTTTATCCCATCTCCTGTATTCTTTGAGATCTTGTGCCATCATTTATTCACTCTTGGGTTTGTTTAATTTCTTCGTGTCAGTGGCTTTCTTTCCACTGCCTGTAACAGTGTTCAAGTCTCTTCTATCTTAAAGTAGCTTTTCTTCCACCGGGCTTCATCTTGGACTTGTTGTTATCCCCTTTCTTTCACCCATTCCCTCACAGTGTCCAGATTTTAGTTATAGTCTAATGAAACCTAAATTTTTTTTTTTTTTTTTTGCAGTTTTTGGCTGGGGCTAAGTTGAACCTGCCACCTCCTGTATATGGGGCCAGCGCCCTACACCTTTGAGCCATAGGCACCTCCCGAAACCTAATGTTCTTAAAGTCATTTAGTAGTAACAATGATGAATATAAGAATAGTTATGTAAGTCCTGTTTTTGTGCACAACACTATTCTTGGTACCTCATATGGGTTATGTCACTTAATTGTCTCACAACAGCCCTATAAGATAGGAAACTATATGAGGTAGTATATTGTTGGGCCAAGAACTTTGAATACCAAGTATCTGGGTTTGAATTCCACGTATATTGCTTATCTCCCTGTGGGAACTTAGGTAAGTTATTTGACCTCTTTGTCTTAATCTCTTCATTTATAAATTGGAAATAATACCTATCTACTTACCTCAAAGGGAAACTGAATTATACAGGGATTAACTGACCCTGTGTCATACAGATTTGCATAATGATTTAGTTTAGAACCTGAACAGTTCTGTTAACCACACTGTGATTTTTCCAGTGCTATTGGTGACTCATTTGATGAGGCAGATTAATGGGTAAATAATTTATCTCTTCTTGACCCTTCTATAGCAGTTAGTATTTCTCTTTTTCTACTTTTTCAGCCCCTTTGTTTCTACTTGTTTTCCACATCATTGGAACCTGTACTTGTGGTGATAACTAAGTTTTATTTCATTGTCTTCTGTATGTGCCACTCCTTAAGTGTTGTTTTTTGAAGTTTGATCCTCTACTTTCTTTACTTCTTCCCTTCCTTTCCTTCTTTCTTCTAGGACCAGAAATTTAGGTTATAGTGTCTGAAATCTCTAGACTAGCTCTCTCTTCTGAGTTCCAGATCCATGTTTTTAAGCTCCTGAATGTCTCATAGGCACCTTAAACTCAATTTGTTGACAGTTGAGTAACATGATTTGAACATTTCATCTCTGATTAAAATATTTATTTATTTATTTTCTGGTAATGTGGCTGAAGAAGAGCTAGTTCTAGGAGTGGGAAAAATTTGGTTCTCCATTTCTCATTCACTTGTGCTTACGTTAATGCATATGTTGTTTGTTTCTGTGAAAAACTTTTTAAAAGTGATTACAGTAGAACCTCCATAGTTAACCACCTCCTTACATTGACTGCCTCCTTAAGTTGACCTAATTTTCATAGATCAGACATGAACCATATGTACGTATCAGTACAGTAGTTCTTAGGTTGACGACCTCTGTATGTTGACCAGTTTGTTTCAGTCCCTTGAGTGGTCAACTTAGAGAGGTGCATGCTATCCTTAAGTCCATTCACCTAAACTACAAACTACGTTCACCTTGTCATATGCTCAGAGAGAATTGAAGAATATGAGAGTACAATTATCAGTCTCTCTACATTGTGGAAACCTGTAGTGAAGTATATGATGTATGATAACTGACATATAGACTGAGTGAGGATGCAAATATTAATTTCTTCCTTTTTTTTAGGTTAAACATAAATATAAATTTTTTTTACATTTTTCTGCATTCTAGTGGATCATTTTCTATACCTTCAGTGATATGCATAATCAACTTTCAGTGTTAGTAGTCTGCTCTATAGGACAAAGGTAACTGCTCAGTATGGCATACAAGTCCCTGTACGGTTTTGTTTTGCCTTATGTTTCTAAGTACTATTCCACTTATGTGCCTACTCCTCTTCTCATACCATGCATGTATCTTATAACTTCATTAAACTATTGTATTAATATTTCCTTTGTTGACATTGTTCTGTTGGTCTGAAATATCCTTACTTTTTACCTCTTTATGGCAAAATTCTGCCTATCCTTCATGAACCAGCATATATACCATCTTTTTTGAGGCACTTTTCCTGAGAATGTAGTATACTGTAGTGGTTAATAGCATAGGTTGTAGTTTTTGACTAATGAAGATATATGTTTGTATTTTAATCTTGGCTTGCTGTTTGAAAGGTTACTTTCTTTGGGCAAACAATTAATTGTGCTTCATTTTCCTATCGGTAAAATAGGGATAATAGTACTATCAATTTTATGAGTTGTTGGGAAGATGGTGTTAATGGTTTAATGTGAAATATCTGGTATGTTCTTTATTAAAAAAATTCCTTATGACATCCACTATTATACTAAGATACAGCTCTTTTTTTAAAATTTCTTAATCGTATAATTAAGATGTATATTTAAGGAAATGCTTATTATCTCCACAAAGTTATAATTAAATTGAAAGTACACTTTTATGTATTATTGATGACATCATAAAATTGAGAAATTATCTTGATGCCTGCTTTTTTGGTGCTCTCATGATTTGTAACACACGCCTTAGCATTTTGTGTTTTATTTATAAAAATACTATTCTGTATCTTATCCATTTCCTCTTTTGTCCTGAGTTCTCCTCAGAGTTAAAGATCAACTTTGTACCTGCACGTGGTAGATTGTCAGTAGATGTTGATTGAAAGAGTAAATGAATTACTATTTGTTGAATTGTCGCAAGAGAGTCTTCATCAGGCTTTGATGATCCTCCGCCCCAATACGGGATTTGACATCTTTTAAAACTCAAACGTAGAGTCATTGTGTTTGCATTTTGCTTTTCCTCAGGACCATACCAAGACTTTGCTTAGTTTAATGTGGATAATGTTTAAAGTATAAAATAATTGCTGTGATTAAAAGTTAAATACAAATGGAGATTCTGCTTTTATTTTGCAAGAACGTTTACTGAAGATGACCTTAGAGGAGAGACGTAAAGAATACGTAAGGGACTTTGTTCCCCTGAACACCATTCTGTCGTGGAAGGAGGAGATGAAGGGCAAGAACCAAAATGATGGTAAGTTTCTCAGAACATTTTTTAGGTAGATATACTTCCCATTTATTTGTGACTTCTGCAGAATAGTTGATGACAAAAATAAATAACTGGCATTCAGTAAAGAGATGACATTTTTATATTTTGTGTGGTTGTCATTTAATTATTTTTAGCAGTCATGTGTTTTTTAAGTTAAGGAAAGTTTATTAACATAATTTTTGTTTTGAAATATAACATCCTTATAATATGATCCTTTTTTACAGGTCCTCTTTTGTTTGTTTTTACTAATTTGCTGCAGTTCTTGGTGCAGTTGCTACATGTAATAGTGATAGTGCAGTTGCTACATGTAATAGTGATTTGGTGCTTTGATGTGGACTTTTGACTTTGCTTTGATTATGTTCATTTTATAATGATCTCCTTAAGTTATTTTGAGGATTAGATATAGTTGAAAGAGTGTATTAGGAAAGTAGAGAAAAACCAAGTAGCATTTTTTATCATTGTAGAGAAAAAGATGTATTTAGTATAAAGGGGTATTATATTATGTAAGGTATTTGCATGACAAAGTTTACTTTCTCAAAGTCTCTATGATTTGATGAGAGTCTAGATTGTGTTAAAATATAAATGAAGTTTTAAGGGTTAAAAGTGTACCTGAAAAAGTTTCTAAAAACATTAATAGATTCAATGAACGTTTAATGTGAGTACTTTTGAGTTAATGCTTATTGGTGTTAAAGATCTGGATGTGAAGTTTAGTCAAATGGTACTTTTTAGGGCATTTAACAGTTGAGAAAAAAAGAACTTTGTGAAGTGCATTTGGAACATACCAGTTTCACAGGTTGTGGTCTAAGTTGATGCAACTATACAGGGTACCACGAGTCCAGAAAGTGAAGACTAGTATGGAATGCCCATGAACAAAATCTTTGGGGAACAGCAGCCAAATTAGACTTCGGTATCTGTGTAGAAAACACATTTACCTGAGGGTTCAGCTTTAGGCAGAACTTTGTTTTTCTAGAAACGCAAAGCATGTGGGGTTGGGAGTGAAAAGATGTGGGTTCTTTTAGAATCTACCATAAGCTGCCTGGAAACATGTAACTGTGGGATAGTGGGGTAGCAGCTCTATCCCAAGTTCTACTGGGGTCTTTGGATAATCAGATTGGGATGTGAACATCAAGACCTGCCTACCTAGTGTGTTCAATAAATGCATGTTTTTTTAATAGTGGTTTAATTGACACATCATTGAGAGGGAAGGGAATGCTGTGTAATGAAATCAGGGCTAGAAAACAGGGAGGAAGAGTTGTGTGCCTTGTCTGACCTGGGACCATGTGCCTCTTCATGTTTGGGTTTCAGGAATTTCTTCTTTTGTTTGTAAGTAATTAACTTTTGCTTGTTGTTCATGTTCATATTTGTCAAGTATTATTAGCAAATCTCTGGAATTATATGTTTCTAATTACTTTTCCCCCTGTAATAATTTCTTTTATAATAATTTCATTTGCCAGTTACTATATTGTAGGAATTTTTAGAATGTTTGTCTCTCTTATTATACTATATTCTAGCACCTGGAATGGTGCCTTATTTGTAGGTGCACTCATTCGTGTTAAATAAGAATGCCTCAGTAGTTAATAGTCTACAAGGGACAATTCTTTTTTCCCCTCAACCTTTTAATAATGGGCACTTTAAAAATATATACAAAGATAAAGTACAGGGGCAGAGGCAAGATGGCCAACTGGAACCGGCTTTCCACAGAGGCTTCTGTCCAGAAGGAGAGTTAAAGGATAGAAGTTTAGCAAGTAAGCTGATGGTTTGAAGCTGAGCCAAGAGAGAAAGTTGAAGAATGCACATCAACCCTGCTGAGGTGAACTGCGACCCCAAGGATACAAACAATAGGTACAAAATCCATTGCCAAGCGGACTGGAGTCCCCTCCCCCATGAGGACAGCTCCCAGTATACTTTCTACAAACAAGCGAGTAGAATTCAAACGTCCTCCCATTTTATCCCACAGGAGAGACCCTTTAAAAACCGGACCTCCTTCCCCTGCTAGGGCCCCATGGCACTCTCCTGCCAGGCATAAAACTGTATATATTCTCTACCTGCAATTCTGAACTCCCAGCACTCTCCTCCACTCTCACCCTGAGGTCTGGAAGCCTGTCCCCCATGGAGTCCAGATTCTTGGGCATTTTCTTGAGAGGTGTGGACAGGGCGTGGGCTGTTGCAGGTCTCTGCTGATTCTGCGGTACAGGGGTAAGGAGAAACGGTGGACTGAAGTAGTAGGGGAAGGGGAAAGGTGGAACCCCTTGGCACAGAGCAGCAGCGGCAACAGTGGCAGCAGTGGCAGCAGAGGGAACAATAGGGCTCACAGCCCTGGGGATATTTTGGAAGGACACTCTCTGTCTCTCTGGGCAACCAGAGAAAGCCAGGCATCTTTGGTGGTAGACACTGGTGGAATAGATCTAGGATGGTAACACAGGCCCCATGAGTAAAGGGTATGCCTGAGGTGGTACTGGTTTGGGTTGAGCTTGGAGAGATGGAGAATTGAAGACGCAAGCCCAGAGATGGCATACTCCCAGGGCGGGGCTGAGCCAGGAGAACTTTAGTGAGCCTAAGAAACACCCAGCCCTCAGGTGATTGTAGCTGAGACAAAGGCAGGCAGGCCGAGGCTGGAACTCTGAGCTAAGTGTGAGCTCTAACCACACCTGCCCCAACACAGACTGCAGCTCTGGGCAGCAGCACAGACTCTGGCAGAGTTGCAGTTTCTGTGAACTCAAACAGTACCTGGTCTGCAGGGGATTATAGCCAGGACAGAATCACAAATTCTGCCAAATATAAGTGTCAGCAGCATCAATCAGCGGTGAGGCTGGAACTGAGTGAACTGCCCCAGCTTCCATTAACCACCTGAGGTTGTCAGGCCTCAGCTTCCACTGCCGGCTGGTGGCAGAGTGTGGAGGCCTGGCTGACGAGACATAAAATCTCTCTGTGATTCAGGCAGGCTCAAATCCCTGGAACATCTGCTTATTGAAGAGACCTGGGTCATAGCCCTGTAGGGTTACCAGTGACCGGGTAGGACAGAGGTGCAAGATGGGGAAGGAGGCATCAACCTTCCCAGACAAATTCATTTGCTGGGGGAGGGGGAGCCCTTCTGATTCCATGGAGCACCAGAACGTGTCATACTTGAGCTACCAACAGACCCCGGCTATATAGTTGCCGGAGACCTTTTGAACACCCTCACTTGAAACTGAGTGCTGACAATTGATTGGATCTTTCAGACTGGACCAATCACTCGAGGACTATCCAAAGTAGTACCCTGGGTAGTGGTTGTGGGTAGGTTTGATTTTCCTTTTCCAGTTGTTGCCCGTGAAGGGTGGGGTGATTTAATTGCTGCTATTTCTCCACAGCTGAGACTTCAACCCAGAGTAACTAATTTACTAGAGTAGAACAGAGACCAGGTGAAAACAAGACAGAGGCACTTAGCCCCACCAAACCAAGTAAGTCCCCAGTGTCTCAGGCCATAGCACTATATGGGTCCTTTGCAAAGCTGTAGGAGAAAAGGTACAGACACTAGCTCTTGGGTAAAGGGCTGGTTAATCACTACTCCAGGAGCCCCCAACCCAACTTCACCTTATCTGCTCATATAGCCAAATGGTGTAAAGTAATCATGGGGCGGAATCAACAGAAAAACTCTGGTAACATGAATAACCAGAGTAGATCACCTTCCCCAAGGAACCATATGGCGACACACCTGAAGATCCCATTCATATACAAACGGATGAGATGTCAGAAATCCAATTCAGAGTTTGGATTGCAAATATGATTAGTAGAATGGAGGTAAAGTTGGAATTAGAAATTCAAGGAGCAATTCAAAAGTTATCTCAAGAATTCAATGAATCGAAAGACAAAATCACCAAAGATTTTTGACACATTGAGACAAGAATTTGCAGCCCTCAAAGATCTGAGAAGTACAGTAGAATCCCTCAGTAACAGAATGGAGCAGCAGAAGAAAGGATTTCTGACATTGAAAACAAAGCTTTTGAATGCTCCCAAATGCTCAAATAGGAAGAGAAATGGAGAGCAAAAATGAATCATTCTCTCAGAGAGCTCTGGGATAATTAGAAGAAAACTAATATTCGCCTTATAGGAATTCCTGAAGGCGACAAATTTGCTTTGCAAAGCACAGAGGCTCTTTTTTGTGAGATTATGAAGGAGAACTTTCCAGACATGCCAAGAGATTCTGAAATTTAGATAGCAGACAGTTTCAGGACCCCAGCACGAATCAATCCAAGTAAGACAACCCCTAGACACATCATAATTAACTTTACTAATGTTAATATGAAGGAGAAAATTCTACAAGCAGCCAGATGGAAAAAAACCATAACCTACAAGGGGAAGAATATTAGAATGACTGCACATCTCTTTGCTTAAACCTTTCAAGCTAGAAGAGGATGGTCATCAACTTTTAATCTCCTAAAACAAAATAATTTCCACCCAGGATCCTGTATCCAGCTAAACTGAGTTTCATTTATGATGGAGAAATTAAATACTTTACTAACATTCACATGTTGAAGAAATTTGCTATAACTAAACCAGCTCTCCAGGATATTCTCAGACCTATCCTCCATAATGATCAGTGTAATCCTCCACCACAAAAGTAAACTCACTCAGAAACTTTTCATCACATTCCAACTTCCACAGAGGCAAAAGGATTAAAAATGTCCACTGGACTTTTGAAAAACTTGATACCCCAAATTTTACCAGGCTTATCAATAATTTCAATTAATATGAATGGCTTAAATTGTCCTCTAAAGAGGCACAGGTTGGCTGACTGGATATAAAAACTCAGATATCTGCTGCATACAACAATCTCATCTTACCTTAAAAGATAAATATAGACTCAGAGTGAAGGGATGGTTATCTATATTTCAGATAAATGAAAATCAGATAAAAGCAAGTGTTGCAATTTTATTTACAGGTATACTAGGCTTTAAACCAACAAAAGTAAGGAAAGATAAGGATGGTCACTTCATATTTGTTAAGGG